TAAGCTATTTCTAATATCCCTAAGTCTCTTCTAAGAACATAGAATCTATCCTTGGGTAGAGGCTTAGTAAAAATGTCTGCTAATTGATACTTTGTATCAACGTACTCTATTTTACAGTTTCTTTTGCTGATATGATCTCTCAAAAAATGATGTCTAATCTTTATATGCTTAGTCCTAGAGTGCATTACTGGATTCTTAGTGAGATTGATTGCACTCGTATTATCACACATCAAAGGTATGTCATTCAGAAATATACTATAATCTTCTAACTGTTGTTTCATCCACAGAATTTGAGCACAACAATTACCAACTGCAATATATTCAGCTTCAGTGGTAGATAAAGCAACACATGCCTGTTTCTTAGAATGCCAAGATACTAAGCATGAACCTAACAAATGACATGTCCCACTAATACTCTTTCTATCAATTTTGCATCCACCATAATCAGCATCAGAATATCCTATTAAACTAGTACAAGCATCAGATGGATACCATAAACCAAAACCAGTAGTTCCTTTTAAATATTTTAAAATATGTTTTACTGCAATTAGGTGAGATTCTTTTGGACAAGCCTGAAATCTAGCACACAGACAGACAAAATGCATGATATCAGGTCTACTTGCAGTTAAGTATAACAGTGAACATATCATACCTCTATACATAGATTAATTAACTTCCAAACCTGATTCATCCTTGTCTAAATAGCATGAAGTTCCCATGGGTGTGTTAGCTTCCTTTGAGGTGTCCATTCCAAACTTTTTAAGGATCTCTTTGCAGTATTTGGTTTGAGAGATGAAAATGCCATCTTCAAGTTGTTTGATTTGAAGTCCAAGGAAGAATGTCAATTCTCCCATCATAGACATTTCAAACTCTCCCTGCATTATCTTAGCAAATTCTACACATAACGAATTATCAGTTGATCCAAAAATAATATCATCAACATATACCTGAACCAATAAGATATGTTCTTTTACTTTCTTTATAAATAGCGTAGAATCAATTTTTCCTCTAGAAAAATCATTTGATGTTAGAAAACTACTTAGCCTTTCATACCAAGATCTAGGAGCTTGTTTCAACCCATATAATGCTTTCTTTAATTTAAAAATATGATTAGGATAACTAAAATCTTCAAATCTAGGGGGTTGCTCCACATAAACTTCTTCTTTAATAAAACCATTTAAAAATGCACTTTTAACATGCATTTGATATAATTTAAATTTCATCAAAGATGCATAAGCAAGAAGTAGGCGTATAGCCTCTAACCTGGCAACATGAGCATAAGTTTCATCATAATCTATACCTTCCTCCTGACAATAGCCTTTGGCAACAAGTCTGGCTTTATTCTTTGTTATGTTTCCATCTTCATCAAGTTTATTTCTAAACACCCATTTGGATCCAATAACTTGATGTGATTCTTCTCCTGGGATTAATTCCCAGACTTGATTCCTTTCAAATTGGTTAAGCTCTTCTTGCATTGCTATGCACCATTGGTCATCTTTAAGCGCTTCCTCAACATTTTTGGGTTCTATCTGTGACACAAAAGCTACAGACATGCAGAAATTAGTCATATTTCTAATTCTTACCCCTTTTGAGATATCATCAATAATATTGTCCATTGAGAGTCCTCTAGGTGATTGCCATTCTTTTGCTAATTCAGGCATTTGAGAAGGCCCATTTTCTTCCAAATATAATTCATCAAGAGCCTCTCTTATATACCCATCATCGCCTGCAATTTCTTTATTTGACTCAAGAGGGTTTCCCCCAAGGTCTACAAACTCATCAAAAGTAACATGAATAGATTCTTCAATATTTAAGGTTCTTCTATTAAACACCTGGTAAGCCTTGCTAGTTAATGAATAACCTAGGAAAATGCCCTCATCGGCTTTTGAGTCAAATTTTCCCAAGTTGTCCTTTCCATTATTTAACACTAGGAACCCAAATGTATTTACCTTTAAGAACACCAAAATGTTTAATTTTACATTTATTTGAAGTGTGACCATGTTTCATACAATAAAAACATCCTTTAGATGAAACTTTTGAATATGATGAATTTTTAACCATAGATGTTCTAGTTCCTTTTTCTACCCATACTCTTTTATTTTTCCTTTTAGGCTTTTTCAAAGGAACTTGATAATTTATACTATTTTGAGCAAAAACAGTTTTATCCTTCTTAAAATCACTTATCTCCTTTTCGACTTTATCAAGTAGAAGATTAAGAATATCTATGTCATATTCATACTCTTTACAAGTTTCACATGCTAAGTTCTTATCATCATTCTCATCTAAACATACAATTTTCGTTTCTAAGGATTCCTTTTCTTCTAAACATGTGATTTTCGTTTTTAATGAGTTAATTTCCTTTTCGGATCTACTTAGACTTTTCTTCACAACTTTATATTCATCTTTCAAGTTCTTAAAGGTACTAAATAATTCATTATATGCATTTTGCAATTCATCATAGTTATTATCATCATCACTAGAAGATGAGTCAGAATCACTTACTTCAAAATCAGAAGATATGTTGTCATTTGCCATTAAACAAATATTGGCTTCAACTTCCGAGTCACTTGATTCCGAACTTGAATCACTGTTGTCCCAAGCAATATAGACTTTCTTCTTGAAGACCTTTTTGCCTTTGTTTTCATCATTTTTCTTGTTTGGGCATTCGGTCTTTACATGTCTTGCTTTATCACAACCATAACATTTTATATTTACGGAAGTACTTTCTCTTACCTTTCCCTTACCTTTGAATGGATGTCTTCCTTTTGCTTTCATGAATTTGGTGAACTTCTTTATCATAAGACTCAATTCTTCTTCTTCGTTCTCCGAGTCTTCTTCTTCCTTTTTATTTTTACCTTTGGAAATTTCGGTTTTGAAGACTAAGTTCTTCTTTTGATATTGTCCTTCTTCTTCATTTAGCCTTCCAAACTCTAGCTCATTCTCTCTTAGCTTTCCAAATAGCGCCGCCATAGACATTATGGAAAGATTTTGTGACTCCGAGATGGCCGTCACCTTAGGTTGTCATTTCCTATCCAAAGATTTTAAAATTTTAACATTCAATTCAACAACGTCAAATATTTTACCTAATCCGGTGAGATGATTCACAATGTGAGTGAAACGCTTTTGAATGTCAAATATCGTTTCGCCTTGTTGCATCTGGAACATCTCGTATTCTTGGATTAGGGGATTTTTCCGTGCTCGCTTAACATCGTCAGTACCTTCGTGGGTCACTCTTAGCATTTCCCACATCTCCTGAGCACTTTTACAAACAGAAATCCTATAAAACTCATCAAGGGTTAAAGCAGATGAAATTATATTTCTAGAAAAAGGTTTGAGAACATCAACACTGTTCTCAGTAACTTTAGGAACATATGGACCGTTTAAAATAGCGTCCCAAACGCCTCTATCAACAGACTCTAAAAAGATTTGCATTCTTACTTTCCAGAAAGGATAATTTTGACCCGCCAAAAGTGGGGGTCTATTGATAGACGCACCTTCGGCAAAAGTTTGATTTTGTCCGGCCATTTTCGAAAAGTTTGAATGACTATCAAAGCAAGCTCTGACACCACTTGTTAGAATCGCGCAGCGGAATGTTCGCGTGGTCGTTCAAAAACCAAGAGGGGGGTGAATTGGTTTCTTAACAAAAATTAGGTTTTCAAAATTTTCCCCAAATTTTACTGATTAAAAACTGTGTGAATATAAATAGAGTAGAGATAGAATCTTACACAGGAGATTTATACTGGTTCGGATCAAAAGACCTTACGTCCAGTTGCTAATCACTCAAACAGAGGATTAACGCTGTCACTATAATCACAATTGTTATAGACAAATTACAATGGAAAAGATAAAGTAAAGAAAACACCTCTCTTGAAATCCACAAGAGATGAAGAACAGCTTTCCCTAGAGATGGCACAACACACAATCAACTAAGAACTTCACTTAGTGATTATTATTGCTTCTAGCCCACACCAAGTTCCAAAAGCCCCTTTTTCTTGCAACAAACAGTTCTCTAGCACTCACAACACTTAACTTTTGTATGAAAAAGGTTGTTCTTAATTTTCTGAGTGCATAGAGTCAAGTAGAGAAATTAGGGTTTGGGAATTGGGATTTTCAAAACTAGGGTTCTTGGAAATAGGGTTTTCGAAAATAGGGTTGATTTAAAGTTAAAAATCAAAATTTGATTGAAATAATCGATTAAATGAAGTGTTAATCGATTATTACAGAGCCAAAATCAACAGAACCCCAAAACTCTCTGTTTTAATCGATTAAAAGACCTATTAATCGATTAACAGGCCTGTTAATCGATTAACAGGTGTGTTAATCGATTAAATCAGTGAGCAGATATATAAAATGGTTTTTCTCAATGTTTTAATCGATTAATTCACCATTTAATCGATTAAAGCCGAGGTACTTTGATAAATTTGAGCTTTTTGAAGCTTCTAAGGTGCAGACTATGTACCGGCTATCTCAAGCTCTAATATTACAAACTCAATCTAAACAAAATAGAGTTATTACACTACAAAACAAGTCTTCAACTCTCTAAGTCTTGTGTTCTTGAATCATCATCAAAATCAACAAACTTCATGTCCATCAAGTTCAACATCAAATCCTTGAATGTTCAACAAAATTTTGTTCCAAATAAATTCAACATTCATGGATTAAATACTTTCTTGCATAATGAAAATTCAATCTAAAAGTAAGTAGAATAAACTAAAGTAAGAGTCATAATTCAAGACATGTTAGAAACTAACAAAACAAATACAATATATACTTTCTTGCATATTGAAAATTCAATCTAAAAGTAAGTAAAATAAACTAAAGTAGAATCCTGACAAAGATTTCTCCCAATTGTTTTGCTTGACTCAAATCCAAGTCTATTATACATCTTTTACTAAGAAATAATGTTGGTGCCATTAGAGGGTTTTGAGGGAGCTTAACCCATTCAATAAGATATCGGTCAGACAAATTTTTGGGTTGGGCCAAGTTTTGAACTTGGCGATTCATGGAGTCAATCCTGTGTACAAAGTGGCTGGTTTGTTCCCAGGAAAAAGTGTAGCTGATCCTAACCAACAACCATTTATATCCGACGGTTGAGAAGGGAAGATGGCAGGATCTAGTGGTGTCCAATTCATGAGATCGTTGGACACTGAATGTGCCCACACAATATTTCCCCAAACAACAGCTTTAGGATTGTATTGATAGAACAAATGATAAAGTCCTCCATATCTCATTGGTCCTACCAAAATCATAAGAAAACTTTTTATTTTCCAAACCCAAAATATGTTTTTTCTTTTGGAAACAACTAAATAAAACAGTTTTATGTTTTTCTTTCAAAAGGGTTCACTTAAGAGGGAAATTCATAATAAGAGAACTGAACTAAACTAACCATTGGGATCTGCAGGTCCAAACACACCCACGTGTCCATATGAGGATAACATGTCAACTCACAAAAACAAGAAGAAGAAAAAATGTTTATTAGAGACATAAAATATTTTCACAATAAAGAAAATGAAAGGAATAAAAGGGCACATGAAAAAATTTAAAATGAGTTGAAGGAAACATGTTATGTATACCATTAATCCAATTCTTGGGAGGTTGGAAGTGGTAGGCAATTCTGTAAGGTTGATCATTGGAATTAGAAGATAGAGTCTGAAGATAGAGTCTGTAATAACCTATTACATAGAGAAGAAATTATATATATATATATATATACTCACATTTTTACATCACCAAAATAAGCTTTGCAACCTATATAAGCTTTAAACACTTATAATAATAGTTTGCAACCTATTATATCTTGAACATAGACAATATGCATTTCCTATTTCAGTATATGAATTTATTGCATAAGCGTAGAGTTGAAAAACAAGAATACTGCTATTATTTTACCTTTTTCTTATAGCTTCACTAACCACTCTTGGACACTAGGATCTTTAAATATCACACCAACAGTTTGATGCACATCTTCCTATCACCGAGAAGATTTTAAATGTATGAGAAGCCAAATTTCTTCCAAGCAAAAGATATTAATAAAAATGGTGATTGCAGTAACATGTCTGTTTTTCATATGAAAATATGTAGTGTAAACTAGCAGAAAAATGGAATTAGATATAAAATAAAAGGTCATTTCTTTTACCTTTAAGTTATAGGTTAAAATCCTAAAACAAGTTCTTCTCTTGCAAGGATAAGGTTCAGAACATCTACTCTACTAAATCCACACTAATTCACAAACTCATGCATTGAGTTGCCCTATTTTGTTAGGAAGCTTTGTACATTGATTTTCCTTTTTATTTGTTGCTTTTTCTTGTTTGGTTCTAATGTTTAAGAAAAGAGAAATGATACTTTGACAACCCAATCTTATACAACTTTAACAAACAACCCACTTTTAATATTATAATAATAATTTTAACTTGTTTTCATTTTTATTAAATCTCTTTCATGATTATTATATTAATAAAATGGGTTGTTTTTTGAGTTGTTTGTTGTTATGGTTGTCAAAATATCAGCACCCTTAGGAAAAACCAGCTCTTTTTGTAATCCATTATTAATTTTCTGTTTTATCTATAATCAAAATAGTAAAAAAAAAACATAAATTGTAACTAGATACACAACATATCATTTGGTCCACAACATTTTTTCACAAACTTAGCATACAAAGACTTTGAAACTGTGTAATTGCAAGATAATGAACAAATTTAAACAAAATGTAGGAAGAAAAATTTATTTACAGAATTAGTTGTATCTGTCATACATAACTCGGATGAAATGTACTAGACCAACTATACTCAACCTATCACACCCAAGCAGAATAATGTAGAACTAAAATCAAATCTCGACCCAAATGGGACACAAAACTTCAGACTAATTAGGCCAAATGGACCAACAGAAAACTGCAGAACCAAACCACACGAAAACATATTCAAAACCCAAAATGAAGATGAGGCAACAAAGAAAAATGGATGAAGCAGAGAGGGACAAACATGCATGCGATGAGTGGTGGCGTGACACTCGATGAAAGGGCTAGGGTTTGGGGTTTGATCGGAATCAACGTGGCTACAACTTTGGATTCGCGGTGGCTGCTGAGGGAGTCGTGGTGGCTGCTGGCGACGGTGGTTAGGGTTGGTGCGATCGCTGGCGAGAATGACACGCGATAGCGATTTGGGCATAGCAAGCAAAGGCGAATCCGTTGGAGGTACGAGCTGGGAGGCTTGGGCTATTGAATCGGAGGAAAATGGGGAAGAATGGATGAGGTGAGATGGTGGTTTGCGACTGCAGAGGCAGTGCGATTGGAGTCTCTTCGGTGGCTAGGGATTAGAGTGTGAGAAGGAGAAGGGGTGAGGTTGGAAATAAGGCGTTATGATAGGAGAGAGAACCACTACTAGAAAAATGTCAAATAGTAACCGAAATTAGTGATCGAAAAATTTAGTTACTATCGATGAATCGAATCAAGTAACCAAATTATTATTTTTTAGTCTAGTAATCAGAAATAGTAACCGAAAATTCGGTCACAAAAATCGGTTACTATTTCGAGTCACTTTATTATTTAATTTATTTTTTTAATTAATCTATATTTAATTTATGTAATTATTTACTACAAAAATGGTTAATAGTGACTCGAAATTAGTGACTGATTTTTTTATATTTAGTAATTGATTTAGTGACTAAAATTTCAGATCACTAAAAAAATAATTTTTAAACTGATAACTATTTTTCATTTATATAAATATTTTATTTAAAATATTTTAAATATAAATTTACTTAATGATTTAAAATAATTGATAACATTTTTAATAAAATTATAAATATTTTAAAAAAATTGTTTACTAACTTATTAAATAATTTAGTAATATAATTATTTGATTTTATTTTTTAATTTAGCATGTGAATAAAAAAATTAAAATTGATTATTAAATTAGTCACCGAATCGGTCATTGATTCGGTCATTGAATCGGTCACTAATTCGGTCATTGATTCGAGTCATTAGATCGGTCACTAAATCAATAATTAAATTAATTATTAGTTTAGTCTCTTTATATATATATATATATATATATATATATTACTTGTATGTTAATAAAAATGTATTTCAATGTATTTATAAAAAATTAAAATTATTTTAATTACTTGAATTGATATTTTAAATTTATATTAATATCTTGAATAATTTAATAGTTGGATATATATATATATATATATATATATATATTCACTTTAATTTTTTTAATTAAAATTAATTTCATAAAAAAATTAATATTTGAAAATTAAAATGCAAAAAAAATATATATATATATATATATATATATATTTATTTATTTTTTAAAGATGATATATTCAATGTATGTTAAAAAAGTTCAAGCCAAACTGTTTTTATAGAAGATTTTCAAAACTGCTTGGTTTAATTAATCTGTTAAAAGATTCTTTTAATCTGTTAAAAGTGCAGCTTTAATCTGTTAAAACTTCTTTTAATCCATTAATACGTTCTTGATTCTTTAACGATTTGTTTTAACCGATACGACAACGTTTATATCAATTAAAACACTTTACAAAAAATCTTCTAAGTTGATTTAATCGATTGTTCGCGATTCAATCGATTGAAATACTGCAAAACTTTCTCCTAAAACTTTTCAAGTTATTTTAACTGATAAAAATAAGTTTTAATCAATTAAAACGCTGTGTAGAATCGCTTTAATCGATTGAAACGAGATTTAATCGATTAAAATAGTTATGATCGGTCATAATTGCATTCCGACCGATCATAATGGAAACCATATAATAGCGGTTCAACGGTTAACCGCTATCTAAGTGAGCTTTTAAAGCGGTTCCTCATGTAACCGCTATGTAAATCGTATCTCGCTTGAGCGACAACTTTTCGCTCGAGCGAGACGCCCCTGCACTAAATTGGTACTCTCGGGTTGTATTTCGCTTGAGCGAGTCTAGTCTCGCTCGAGCGAGATTTTATTCTGATCGATTATATTTTTGAAATGATCGATCATATTTGATAATTTTTTCAAATAATTAATTATAATCGATTAGTTTTCTAAATTATTGATTAGAATTGATTAGTTTTTCAAATAATAGATTAGAATTGATTAATTTCTAAAATATATACTAAAAAATTATAATTAAAACTATAAATTAGTTAAGAATATTGTCTATTGTAAAGATAAAGTAGAACATGGGAGGAGATGAGGATGATAATATAATGATAGAACTTACAAAAATGTAGAATTGAGAAGTTTAAAAAAAAATTAAGAAAATAGAGATTTAATTATACTTTTAATAAATTTAAGATAATACTAGTTTTTAAACCTTTTTCTAATATTTGTTTTTAAAAATATAATATCATTTTTAATATTTTATAGATTTTATATTTATATATTTATAAAAGTAATTGGATTAAATTTATTATCCTCTCATATATTATTATACATTTAGCGTAATTTTAGTTTATTTAAAAATTAGAATACAAATATACTATACCAATATACCATTATATTATTTTCATTGTATATAAATTACAAAATTAATAATTTGTATACTATACTATACTTAGATATTATTTGTATACTATACTAATAGTATAATATACTATATTATAATATTATTTGTATACAAAACTAATATCTTTATATATAAATATATAAATATGGAAAGATATAAATATATGTAAAAATATAAACATATAAATATATATAAATATGTAAAGATATAAACATATATCTTTAATATTTTGTAAATGTAAATATAATTTATATATATTTTTAAATCTTTTTCTAATATTTATTTTTAAAAATATAATATTATTTTTAAAATTTAATATTTTTTTCAAATATATAAATATATAAAGATATAAATGTATAAGGATATAAATAAATATATAAATATATCAATATATAAATATATCAAAATATAAAAATATAAAAATATAAAAATATAAATATATTAATATATAAATATATCAATATATAAATATATAAATATATATAAATATATATATATATATATATATATATATATATATATACAAATATATCAATATTATCCCCTCATATATTAATATACATTATTAGCATAATTTTAATTTAATTAAAAATTAGAATACAAATATACTATACTATACTAATATACCATTATTTGTAGATTTTATATATTAAAATATATAAATATATTTTTATTTATAGATTTTATATTTATATATTTATACTGGATATACATTTATTTGTATATAAATATAATTTATTTGTAAGTTATTATTAAAAGATCCTAAGTAGCTCGGTGGTTGGAGTTTCGACTCTCCAACTCTAAGGTACGGGTTCGAATCTCGACAATGACAATAAACCACCTAATAATAAGTTAAACTTCTAAAAAATATAATAGAATTAAGAGATAGGGAAATAAATATAAATAAAAACTTAAATAAGCAAAATATAATATAATTAAGAGATAGGGAAAATAAATAATAGATATAATAAAAGTGTAAATAAATAAAAAGAATTAAATTTTTTCATTGATTTAGTGACCGATTTAGTGACCGATTTGGTTATATATAATCGGTCATCGAATCGATCACCGAATCGATCATCGATTCGGTCCATCGAATCGGTCACTAAAATCGATGACCAAGGAAATAGTGACCGATTCCATTCGGTCACTCGAATCGGTCACTGATTCG